GGTACCTATTGATCTACTCACACTTGCATTTTTTCAAACTGCTAGGTTGGCTTAAATGTGGGAGCTCACTCCACTCACCAGATTCAAACCGCCAACCTTTTTTCAGCAAGTTCAGCAGCTTAGAGGTTTAACTTGCTGAGCCACAAGGGGGCTTAACCTGCTGCACCCCAGTTTATATGGCAGTGGAGACTCATATAATCCAGTTCAAAGCAGATAACCTGGGATAAGATCCTGGAATATAAAGACAGTGTAGAAGGAGCCCCGATTTTTTTCATCCAAGACATATTGTGCCGCTTACCAGACTGAGAGAGCATAGGATTTGGTGACTGCTATTTTAGTATTTTGTAGGAGTTTCTAAACACCATGATCTCACTATTCTGCAAATTGGCAAGATCAAGGACTGAGTGCTTCTTTGGCCTGTTTTGCTGAGTATGTGATGCTTATTTAAACACAGTTTGATATTTCATGCTCAATTAACTATGAGAGAAAAGCATAGATAATGTTGGAAGATTTCTTTCCTAGCTGTGCTCATCTATATATACTATTTGCTCACTTTGCATAGTGGACTCGTGTAACCCTGAGTATTTTAGAGTGATATAGAAACTCAAATATAAATTGAGAAAGGAACTGTATCACAAGAAAGGGTAAAACTCAACTGCCTACTTAAGTATGATATAATCTACTGTGGTGTAGTTTGAGTATTGGACTACAACTCTGAAGACCAGGGTTCAAATTTGGGTTTGGCCCTGGAAACCCACTCAGTGGTTCTCAACCTGGGGTCCCCAGATGTTTTTGGCCTACAACTCCCAGAAATCTCAGCCAGTTTATCAGCTGTTAGGATTTCTGGGAGTTGTAGGCTAAAAACATCTGGGGCCCCAGGTTGAGAACCAGTGCCAGTCTTTGGCAAGTCATGCTCTCTTATCTTCAGAAGAAGACAATGGTAACTCCTCTCCAAGCAAATCTTGCCGAGGGGAGAAATGACTTGATGGCACACAACTGCAACTGGTAGTCAGGCCACTATGCTATGCCAAATGGCAAGTTGATACATGAGTCTGCTCCAGTTGAGACTAGAAACCTGATTTAAAACAGAAATGTCTGCTTAGTCTATTAATAAAGCTGTGAAATTTCATTTTGAATCTATGTTAATTTGCATCATAATGCAGATTCCTGCCTCCAGGTGAGTGAAAAGCATCATTTGGATGGCTGGAAAGACAGGTAATAACAAGAGTACGGGTGGATTCCTAAGCCTGAAGGAAACTGGAAACTCTTAGAGAGTAACAGCGATGTCAGCCAAGTAACAGAAGTGTCTCTGCTCCATGACATATGCATAGAATTGATCAGTTTAAATATTTTTTCCCTTTGCCTTGAGGTTTCATTCTGGTACAAAGCCATAGAATGGTAGAAAGGGTGGATGTTTTTATTATCCTGGGAAATGACTGTGAATTTCTTAAAATTGTTCTCTGTGCATAAATCTGCTCTTTTGGCCCCTGCAGTACTTTTCTGAGGTTAACAGGGCATGATGAATACAACTGCATACATTAAAAATATATTGTGTAGTATCTGAAAAATCCCAGGGGGAAAAATCCCATCACCATTGCTAACATGTCATTAAGAATGAATCTCAACCTAAACCCCATTCCTCAAGCACTCGTGCCATTTACACACTTTGAACTTGAATGCAGTCTTTCCCAACTGCTTCCTTCCAGATATGTTGGGCTGAAGTCCATAACACACAGCTACAGAGGCCTTGAAAACATTAACCCATGATAACAAAACAAAAGTGCATACACAGGCAATTTGAGAACAGGGATGGGAACTGTGTGGCCTTCTAGATGTTGCTGGATTATGGTTCCCAACATTCCTCGGCATTGGCTATGCCGCTCTGGGATAACGGAAGATGCAGTCCAACATTTCAAGATCCAAACAGTTCCAACTCCTGTGACCTACTTAATTGTGTGAAGCAATGCAATAGTCTTAGAGTTGGCCCTACCAATAGAATCATCGAATGGGAAGAGACCTCATGGGCCATCCAGTCCAACCCCCCTGCCAAGAAGCACGACAATTGCGTTCAAAGCACCCCCAGCAGATGGCCATCCAGCCTCTGTTTAAAAGCCTCCACAGAAGGAACTTCCAGCAATACAGTAAAACAATATAACACAAGATCACAACAGAAAAGAAGACAATAAAATAACATAAGATACAAAACCAATATAAATAAACAGTGCAACAATATAAAATCAGGACAATAAAACACTGAAAATAATCACAGTGGGCAGGGCCAATTGCAAAGATTAACATTTTAAAACACTGGGTGAGAGGGCAATGTAATGTATCAGGACAGGGGATCCGGGGGATAAGGTAGGGTTTAATTGCCCAACCAGTAAAATAAAGTGCTTCTGAGGGCATTTTATGCACAGTTTGGTCAGGGATTATTGAACGTTTAATCATTGAAGACTCTCTGGAACAGCCAAGTTTTCAGGCTCCTCCTAAAGACTGCCAGGGTAGGGGCTGGCCTAATATCTCTGGAGAGCGAATTCCAGAGCCGAGGGGCCACTACAGAGAAGGCCCTCTCCCTCATCCACACAAGTCGCGCTTGCGATGGGGGCAGGAGCAAGAGAAGGGCCTCTCCGGAAGATTGAAGAGATTGTGTAGGCTCGTAGACGGAAATGCGGTCACGCAGGTAGGCAGGTCCCAAACCATTCAGGGCTTTGTAGGTAAGAACCTACACCTTGAATTGGGACCGGAAAATAAACGGCAGCCAATGGAGCTCTGTTTTGCCTTTTTAGAGCCCCACTGATTTGCCCTTTTAGCACTCCATGGCATCCATTGGACTCTTTTCTAGCCACAGACTTCCAATGAGTTGGGTTTCCTCCTATCAGAATCTTTCGTTGTCTAGCTTTCACGTCCTGATTAAACCCTTGTGCCGGCAGGACTGAAGACTGATAGGTCGGAGGTTCGAATTTTGGGAGAGCAGGTTGAGCTCCCTCTGTCAGCTCCAGCTCCCCATGCGGGGACATGAGAAAAACCTCTCACTAGGATGGTAAAATATCAAAACATCTGGGTAATGTCTTTGCAGACGACCAATTCTCACACACCAGAAGTGACTTGCAGTTTCTCAAGTCGCTCCTGACACACACACACACACACACAATCCATAGCATAGTGTTGGAGCTTAGCCTGTGATTGTGTTTAAGGATCAGGGTGCTTTGGATGTGGGGAGTGATGACAATGAGTTTCAAGATGGCAATGGTCTGGTCAATGATATTGATGCAGAGAATGACCAGGAGATCCCTGTATAAATATGTGAGGAACAAGTCATAGAGAGGAGGGAGCAAGCTTGTTTTCTGCTGCCCTGGAGACTCCTGCTTTGAGATGGTGGCAGGGTATAAATAAAGTTTATTATTATTATTATTATTATTATTATTATTATTATTATTATTATTATTATTTGAAACACAACAAGATGAGTCCACAGCAGATACTCTGCTGGCTGTTGAATTGGATCACATGTCAGACACTTCCCATGCATTATCAGCGAATAATGCATGCAGATCCCAGTAAGGTGGCCTTCTGCAGCTGGCAGATGGTAATTTTGTCAGGGCTGATTGTGTTTAAGTGCAGGCCAAGGTCTTTAGGCACTGCACCCAGTGTGCTGATCACCACTGGGACCATCTTGACTGGCTTGTTCCATAGTCTTTGCAGTTTGATCTTTAAATCCTCATATCATGTCAGCTTTTCCAGTTGTTTCTCTGCAATCCTGCTGTCATCTGGGAATTGCAACATTGATGATCCATACTTTGTTTTTTAACACAATTGTTAGGTCAGGAGTATTATGCTCCAAAACTCTGTCTGAATCCGGAAGTCCCAGAGGAGTTTGGCGTGTTCATTCTTTGTAACTTAGTCCGTGTTGGGGTTCAGCCTCCGTGTGAACCTGACCCTCAGCCTCCATGTGAGCCTGACCCTCAGCCTCCGTGTGAACTTGAACCCGATTCTTTGATTGTATTTCCTGATGCAACTGAACAGGCTACTGAACATGTATTTTTCCCTGATGGTTTGGAAACTGGTGATTCTGAGGGCAGTGGCTGGGAAAGTGAAACTACACAACCTGATGAGACTGTTTCTGAATCAAGCAGTGATAACTCTACAGAGGAGCGAACACCTGCCTTTTTTAATGAGGATAGAAGAGTACAGATTTGGAAAAACAGGAGTGAATCACAGAGCCTGCGAAGGTCAAGTAGATTAAAGGAAAAGGAGGCTTCCAAGCCTGGAGGCGTGTCCTGAAACAGTTTCTTTAGTTTTAAGTGTCTCCCCCCGGGCTGTCTCATTAGATCAAGCATAGTCTAGACTGAGGCATTACCTTGGCAGAGTTCCCGTTTCCCATGGCCTGCATTCCCAGAGGCTTCTAGTTTCCAAGTACAGTTAGTGAAATGCTAACAGGTTCCAGGTTTTCATAGTGTTGCTTTTGGAATTTTGATCTAGTTCAGAGATATTCCTGACTGCTGAGTTTTACTGTGGCATTTTGACTTTGCATTTTCCTCGATTTTGTAACCATTTTTCATCAATAAAAAAGGATTGTTTTTTCCCACAGTCAAGTGTTGTGGATTTAATCTTATGGTCTCGTTTCCTGATCTGGGTTGCAACAGTCTGGCTTGTGATCCCACCAGTTCTTTGTCGCAGGCAGATGGCATTTGTGGCACAAACTTCAATTGATCATCTGAGCAATGGTGTTATGCCTCTGCTTGTAGTCTGTCTGCGCGATCTTCTTGCAGCAGCTGAGGATGTGATCTATTGTTTCATCTGCTTCCTTGCAGTCTGCACTTGGGATCTGTTGTCAACTTTTCAGGTCTCTGTAAACGCACAGATCAAAGGGGTGTGTTGCCTCCCAAGAGGGAGAGAAGACAAGGAGGAGAAGGAGGACGAGTGCCAAAGGGGTGTGTACGCATGAGTGTGCCAAAGGAGTGTGTCCAAAGGGGGCGCCTTATGGGTGGAGGAAGAGCAGGGCCTGTGTCCGGCGAAAGGACCGCCCTCCTCCTCCGTCTCCTCCTCCTCCTCTTTCTCTTTCTGGGCAGGAGAAAGGGCCTCCGCGGCCTTCCCCGTCCTCCTCCGTCTTCTTCTCCAGCCCCAAAGAGGTCGGGCGTCTGGAGGAGGAGCTGCTTTCGGTTTATATTCACCAGCAGCGCTGCTTTGATCCCGGTGCGGGGCTCAGCACAGGAAGCCATGCAGGTAGAAAGCGAGGCGGAGGCCTTTCTCCTTCGGAAATGAATGCAGCTTGACCCCAATACTCTGGGATCCTGGGAGCGGGGGCTTGGCAGGCGCTGGCTCCCAGGGTTCCATCGCACTCAGCCATAACAGGCAGTTCAAGCTGTGTCCCTTCCGCCCCGGTTTGATCCGGCTCTCTTTCTTTCCTCCCTCCCCAGGCAGGCTCCAAGCAGGCGGTGCTGGCAGCGGCGCAGGAGCTGCTGAAGTTTGTGAACCGGAGTCCCTCCCCTTACCATGGTAAGAGTCTTCCCGCCCATCCACACAGGCCTAAAACCCAGAATAGCAAGGCAGATCATACACTCCTAGAGTTGGAAGAGGCCTCGTGGGCCATTCAGTCCAACCCCCTGCTAAGAAACAAGAAAATCGCATTCAAAGCTCCCCCGACAGATGGCCATCCAGACTCTGTTTCAAAGCCTCCAAAGAAGGAGCCTCCACCACACTCCGGGCAGAGAGTTCCACTGCTGAACAGCTCTCATAGGAAGTTCTTCCTAATGTTTAGGTGGAATCTACTTTCTTGCAGTTTGAAGCCATTTTTTTCGTCCTAATCTCCAGGGCAGAGCCCCCCCCCCCCCGTAGCGCAGTGGGTTAAAGCGCCGAGCTGCTGAACTTGCTGACTGAAAGGTTGCAGGTTTTAATCCGAGGAGCAGCGTGAGCTCCTGCACTTATCGCCAGCTTCTGCCAACCTAACAGTTCAAAAACATGCAAATGCAAGTAGAGGAATAGGTACCGCTCCAGCGGTAATATAACAGCATTACATACAGTCATGCTGGCCACATGACCATGGAGGTGTCTACAGGCAACGCCAGCTCTTCGGTTTAGAAATGGAGATGAGAATCACCACAAAGTCAGACACAAATGGACTTAATGTCAGGGGAAAACCTTTACCTACTAGTCTCCAGGGCAGCAGACTACAAGCTTGCTCCCTCCTCCCTATCTATGACTTCCCCAAACATTTATACATGGCCCTCATCATACCTCCTTTCAGCCTTCTCTTCTGCAGGCTAAACATACCCAGCTCTTTAAGCCGCTCCTCATAGGGCTTGTTCTCCAGGCCCTTGATCACGTTATTTGCCCTCCTCTGGACACATTCCAGCTTGTCAACATCTCCCTTCAATTGTGGTGCCCAGAATTGGACACAGAGTGATTCCAGGTGTGGTCTGACCAAGGCAAAATAGAATAGAGGGGTAGCATGACTTCCCTGGGTCTAGACACTGGACTCTTATTCATGCACGCCAAAATCCCATTGGCTTTCTTTGCCACCACATTGTTGGCTCATGTTTAACTTGTTGTCCATGAGGACTCCCAAGATCTTTTTCACACGTATAATCCACAATATCTGCTTTGAACCGGGTTATCTGAGTCCACACTGCCATATAATCCAGTTCAGTGTGGATTCTATACAGTTGTGTGGAAGGAATCTGAGACCACAATCCAGTTTTTTTCAAAATGCAATTATCACAGGGACAGAAAGGGAGGTGAAATCTTCTGAACAGGGCACAAGACAGAAAAGGGGTGTTAGCCGTTTATTATATTATGTAAAGCAGTGGTTCTCTACCTGTGGGTCCCTGGATGTTTTGGCCTTCAACTCCCAGAAATCCAAACAGCTGGTAAACTGGCTGGGATTTCTGGGAGTTGTAGGCCAAAACACTGGGGGACCCACAGGTTGGGAATCACTGATCTAAAGCTAATATACTGTGTGTGTGTAGACATACATACAGGGGTGTTAACCCTTCCTTATATTATCCAAAGCTAATATTCAGTATGTGTGTGTATAGAGTTACACTTAAAATGTACCTGTACTGACTTACAAACAAATTCAACTTAAGAAGAAACCTATAGATCAGACATGAGCAAACTTCAGCCCTCCAGGTGTTTTGGATTCCAATTACCACAATTCCTAACAGCTAGTAGGTTGTTAGGAATTGTGGGAGTTGAAGTCCAAAACACTGGGAGGGCCGAAGTTTGCCTGTGCCTGCTATAGATGTATTTTGTTTGTAACCTGGGGACTTCCTATGAATAGGATCCCAGTCCTGGGAGAAGAGCAAGCTATTACTACTGCTCACAATGTCTAAAAATGATAGCATTTATGCAAAATGCACATGTTTATTTATTTCATTGATTTTTCTGCCTTGATATTCTGGGACATAGGGCTGTGTGGAAGGGCCATTAGTTTGAAGTAAACTCTACTCAAAGTGATTCTGTGCTTGGTTTTTTTCACCACCATTGACACCATTCACTGGTTTACTCCAGGCCCTTCTAGACAGGCCCTATATCCCAGGATCTGATCCCAGGTGTTCTACTTTAAACTGGATTATAGGAGTCCACACTGCCAGATACTCTGAGATAAACAGAAAGCCTGGGATCAGAACATGGGATATAGGGCCTGTCTGGAAAAGGCCCTCCCTGCAAATTTAAACAAACTCTTCCCCATCCACACCGTATTGTATTTTACTTTTCACTTTTTTCAGAGTGTTTATTTTTAGCATGTCAGTTCTTCACTTCAGCTGCAAAAAGAGCAGTTGGGTTAATCTGTCTTTGCTAAATTGATTAGTTCTGGGAGACTGTAGAAGAGTCTTTCTTTCACTTCCTTTTGTTGTTGATGTTGCTTTTTAAAACGAGCCTCCGTTACATTCTGCAGAACTTTCAAGCCAAGGTGGCTATAACCTCGTCTTATCTGAATCTTTGATTTCATTAGATATATCTTTGTGGCAGATCAGACAGGCTTTTCTTGATCTAAGGAGTTTTTAATGCATTGGAAACTTGTCCTGTGTGTGTCCACACTTGCCCATATGTTCAAGAATCTTTTTGCTCGATGGTTATAATCATTTTACAAGTGCTGTCCTGCATCTGATAAAAAACAGGTTTATACCTATGAAAGCACATGCAGTAATTAAAAAGGGATCCAAAGATGCTGCTGCCACATTTCCTCTCCCCGCCTTTCCTCCTTTCTGTGGAAGGAACTTACCATATATACTCGAGTATAAACTGTCCCGAATATAAGCCAAGGTGCTTAATTTTACCACAAAAAAATGGGAAAACATATTGACTTGAGTATAAGCCGAGGGCAGGAAATGCAACAGCTACTGGTAAATTTCAAAATAAAAAATAGATACCAATAAAATTACATTAATTGAAGCATCAGTAGGTTAAATGTTTTTGAATATTTATATCAGACTTTAAGATAAGACTGTCCAACTCTGATTAAGCCATTCTAACCTTCTTCAATGTAAATGTGGTTTTATGTATCCTTCCAATAATAATAAAGTAAAATAATAAACGTAATATAAACAACAATAGAGTAAAATAATGGAAATGTAATAGTAACAGTAATAATAGAGTAAAGTAATAAATGTAACAATAATAGATGTAATGATAATAAATGGAATAAATAATAAATGTAATAATAATAGAGTAAAATAATAAATGTAATAAAAATATAATAACTGAGTAAAATGATAAATAACTTTGACTTGAGTATAAGCTGAGTGGGGCTTTTTCAACCTTAAAAAGGGCTGAAAATCTTGGCTTATACTCGAGTAAATACGATATATTTGTTTTGGTTGGACATTGGACTGAAAAGGGATGTGAGTAAAAAGTGATTTAGATAAATTCTAGGACTTTATCGCATGTTGCTATCCCATGGCCGTTGCACAATCACTGATAGCAGTGATTGTGGTCCTGCTCTCCTCCTTCCCCATAACCTCATTGTTCCCACTCATGCACTTTCGCTTATATAATAACAACAACAACTTTATTCTTATATCCCGCCACCATCTCCGCAAAGGGACTCAGGGCAGCTTATGAAGCACAATATAAAATACAATAAAATAAACACACATAAAACATCAACTCAGAACTCAATAGAACTTGTTGTTATTTAAAGCACTTTCACTGTTCCAGGCATGGTTATTTTTTAATGCAAATTTTCTTTAAAAATATGAAATAATCAGCGAGAGGGAGATTGGAGGAGGTGGAAAATCCTGTCAGTAGCAGGGGATGCATTTATTATGGAGAGGAGGCAGACTGGCATCGGGATGTGGACATCATCATGTGGACATCGTCATGCGATAGTTACCTTGCCGAGGGTCTTGTTTCAAAAGATGGTGTCCCTCCTTCATGCAATAATATCAAGTGCAGAAACAGACCCTAAATATTGTGCCTAAGATCTCTCAGGAAAGCCGAACCCTGGCAGAAATTGGATGAGTGAAGTCTTGAGGCCAGGACCAAAAGCAGCAATCCTAAACATTGATATATTTTTGTTTAAAACTCTTATTTCCCATAAGTAACCCATATAAAAGACTATCCAAAAGGTGGAAAAGCACCTGTTGCCATGGTGACATAAGGAAAGAGCTGTGGTCTTATGGTGAACATTGGAGAGCTTGGGGTGCAGGACAGGGCTGGATTTCTCTCTCTTGAGCCTGGAATTTATCATTGCAGAATCAAATGATCAAATTACCTCATGAGCAATTGATCTTGCTCTCCCTTTACTACTTACTGTTAAAGAAGGATTCAGCAACCAGGATAATTGACTTTTCTATATGAAATGAGAGGGTGCTCCATCTTCTGTACTTCAAACAGCAAAATTTCTTGGGATGACTTTTTCTGGGCGAAGGCAAGTAGCATTGTATTATGCTGATTATTGAGGCTCAGCAGCAAGACGCTGGGGATTCTGCTTGCGGGATTAGGGGAATGATGGATTTTTCCCAGAATGTATATGATCAAGCTGAAAAACAGATAGAAATGCAGGTCGTAGATCGAAGAAAAGGGCCTACAGCTGCAAAAGAGATAGAGGATGTTTGGGGTTCTCTTTCTCTTAAGAATTGGCCTTCTCAGCCTTCAGAAGATGAGGAGTTACCCCGCTATATGTGATTAGACCTCTGCAGGGAGAGAGCAAAAGAAAGGTCAGGAAGACTCTGTGAGAAACAGTCCTTGAAACACAGGTACTGAAAGGGTGATCTCATGGCTTTGTGGTTAGGTTTGTGCTTAAATTAAGAGATACTTTCCTGGTCTCATTAGAGCAGACAACGTTGCCTTAAAAATCAAGTTCATGTTTAGCTTTCAAGTTGTCTATGTTCCTGGAATAGTTTTTGTCTTGGAAAAGTTCCTATTTTCGTGCTTATGGAATAATGCCTATGTTCCTGTTTCATGCTTCTGGATTTATGGATTAATGGCTTTGCTCTTGATTTCATGGATTTCATGTATCTTACCATCATTGATTATTTGTACCTTCCTATTTTGGACTATTGATCTTTGTATTTTGGACTACTTCTGTTTCATAGCACCCTTTTTGGAAACTGCCATTTCCCTTTTTGTATATTATTTTTGTAAATAAGCTTCAGTTAGTTACTTCTGGTCTCTGTGTGGTGCTGGGCGAAAAGGTGTTCACAGCTAGAGTGCAACACTGATGTGGGAGTTGTCACTTGGAAATAAAGGGACTTTGATAACAACATTCTCTGATTTATTCGGCCACATGACTTTATAGAGCCTATGTTGTTATTGTGGTAGTTTTCATCTTTCGTGACTTGTTTGTGCTCTTTCTCCCCTCCAGTGGTTGCTGAGTGTCGGAGCCGCCTGCTTCAAGCTGGTTTTCAGGAGCTTAAGGAAACTGAACACTGGGATATCCAGCCAAACCGAAAGGTGGGGAAATGGATGGATAATTGAATTATTTCTCTTCTCCATGATCTTGACCAACAATTGTTCTGGTTCTCTTTTTAGAGCTGGCAGTCGATGTGGTTGAGTCTCTTGATATTCATATCACCTCATGGGATGGGCAAAACACTGATGCCTCCTGTCCCTTCTCCCACCTCTTTCCCTTTTCCTTCCTATTTCTAGTATTTTGTGACCAGAAACTTCTCAACACTGATTGCCTTTGCTGTGGGAGGCCAGTTCCAACCTGGCAATGGATTCACCTTGATTGGAGCCCACACGGATAGTCCTTGCCTGCGGGTAAGCCATTTCTGCTCTCTTGCTTTTGGAACCTGAAAGCAGAGGACCCAGTGAGTGCTCTGGGTTTAATTCTCTGTCTTCTTCCCTACCGTTGTTCCTGTCTTCTCTATAATTAGTCTCTTTACATTGACTTCCTTTGGAGGTGCATACTTTCCCGTCAGAAAACCATACTGGGGAGATGCAGTCACTTGAATAGGAGATCACCAGGGAATACCACAGATATCCAAGTAGGGCTAGCAAAGAATCCTGTCTGAAACCCTGGAGATTTCTGGTTGCTAATCAGAGTTAAGAGTAGATGGACCTACAAATAGAGCATGGGTGGCAGGCATAAATAATAATAATAATAATAATAATAATAATAATAATAATAATAATGTTATTTGTAGACTGTGCTATCTCCCCGAAGGGACTCAGGGCAGTTTCCAACATATATGGCAAACATTTGATGCCAAAACACAGAAACATGCAAACAAATTACATCAAAACCCACCTTATCAAACAATATAAAAATAACCTAACTTTGAACTTAATAACAAACAAAAATAACACTTAAATGACCCATACAAACTCAAATGCTTAATACAAATCTATAACTAACTGAAAACATCTAAAGACTAGCAGCTGAAACCTTATGGAAACATGAGGTAGTTTGCAACAACCAACAGGCTGGAGTCGATTTCAGTGTGTATACAAGATTTAACATATCTGGGTAAGGCTGTATATCGAGATGTATTAGTCTTCCTTCTCTGGCCCTGTGAATCTTTTTACTTGCCAGAATCATGATCCCTTAATTATGACCTCATTGGCTGTTATTTATTAGGGCTAAAGTCTCAAAAGATCTGGCAGACAAAGGTTACCAATATGGCTTCAACTACTTTTCCTCCCTGTGACTGTGTTCTATGCAGAAGTACTTTAAATTTACACCCATCTTCTAACCTTATTTCCAGACATTTTTCTTGAATATTGAGAGAAATTATTCAGTCAAGACATCTTCTCTTACTCTTTAAAACATTTGTTAAGCATTTTGCATAATACATGTCAATAGGTACAGTTGACACAATAAACAAAGGGAGCCAAATAAAAGCCTGGATGCAATCAGTTTAGAGAAACCATCAGGTATGGATCAGAACTTATCCCCATTCTGCGATAATAAGTATGGTTTGATCTTTTATAATTGACCAGTTGACACTCCTATCCATTGCGAGAAGAGGGTGGTATCTGTGCAGACGGCTATTGGATAACCATACCAATATGTTTGTGTGACATCTAGGTGAAACGCTCCTCGAAACGTAACCAGGAAGGCACCGTCCAGGTGGCAGTGGAGACCTATGGGGGTGGCATCTGGAACACCTGGTTTGACCGTGACCTCTCTGTTGCTGGAAGAGTCATTGTCAAGGTCAGTCCTCTCTGAGGTATTGGATAGTGGGCTATGAAACTTAGCTTGCCGTATGTTCCTAAGGTCCTTAAACCGTCTTCCTTCCAATACCAAACTACAGAAGTTAGCATGCTTAGGTTACATGGGCAAAACTGAAGTGCTACTTGATATCCATAGATTCTGTATCCACGGATTCAACCATACTTGGCTTGAAAATGTATTTTTTAATCCAAAAAACAAACTGATTTTGTAATTTTTTTATGAGGGACAGCATTTTGCTCCACCCTTGTATAGAATGTCATTTGAACATCCATGGATTTTGGTATACATGACGTTCAAACACCAATTGTACTTTCTTTTCTACCAGATATGGGATGTAGTGCCACACCTGTCAGATGGCAAAAGATTTTAATTGATTTTTAGCTAAGTTGATGTCATTTATTTGGAACGCTTGTTGATGTATATACTTGAAGACTGAAGCTATGGGTTGATTGACTAGATTTTAAAGTAATGGGTTCAGGATTGAGTTCTAAACATGGATTGATATATGCTTGATATACTTAATGAAGTGAACTGAAATGTTTATTATGTGGAACTGTCGGGTTACAGGCAGCGCTTTGATTGAGAATGCTACAGCTGAGATATTAACTGCAAGTACCTTTCACAGGGACAGAGTGCATAAAAATGTTATTAAACATCAGCACTTTTAATCTATTGTCTAATGAACAAGCTCATCTGTGCTTTCAATCCCAATAAACATGAGTGGGCTCAAAGAACCTTGTTGCTCTATCTGTGTTTGAGTAGGATATGAGTCAAGTGCATAGTCTGCAACACGGCGTTTTGTTTTTCGGCCTTAAACTTCATGACTCAAAGCCCACACCTTTTCATACTGTTTCAATAAAACTGAAACCAAAAGTGACCTACATGAAGTTTTGGTTGAGGCAGGATGTTTGTGTTTGTTTTGTTTCTTGCAAAGAGATACTCCTACCTCAGTATAAACCCCATTTCGCCATGAGACTTGATTCAGACTAAGCAGGCATACTTACTTACTTAGGCAATCCCTCGTAGTCTGAGTATGATGGCCTTCCAAGTGTAGGATCTTGGCGGTGGATACGTAGGTGACTGTAGAGCTCTGGTCTTCTTTTATTTTTCTTGGAAGATGTCTGTGTGAGAGTGTTTTTATGTGTGGAGGTTGGTGCACAACCAATCAACATACAGTCTTCATAGAGTGAGGGTCCCAACCAGCGGCATGGTTAACACAATGATGGTGGCTTCTCAGTCTGTTGCAGCCTTCTTCTCCTTCACAGCTGTTGTAACATATACCATGTTATCTTCTGCCTTCTCCGCCATTGAGGTCTTTGGATCTTCAGATTGTTCTTGGTCTGGTTCCTCCCCTGTGGCCCCTCTTGGGAGTACATGACTCCGGTGGTTACACCCGCAGGTTCATTGGCACACGCAAGCCCCCTCACCACAACAAGGTGACAATCCATTGAGGGGATACACACATAGGTTGTCACTGGCTGGATCTACACTGTTATAATGCAGTTTGAAGCTATATTTGGTCAGTTGTGAGACCTATATAATGTACTTTAATTGCATTGAACTGAATTGCATGATTCTACACTGACCATATAATGCAGATTTCAGACTACATCATATGGCAATGTAGATCCAGCTCAAGTTAAGATGGCTAAATGCTTCAGAAATAACCCAACACAAGTGGGTACCAAAGGAAATGTATGGTGGTGAAGGAGGAATAAAGTTACGGTTACCCATTTAGTAGGGAAAGCCAGACTACTCAAAGGCCTTCCATCAAACTTACCTCTCTTGTTGGAGTGAAAATTCTCTATTGCCATTTTTGATGGCAACAATAATACACGTGAAGAAGTTCCAGAAATATAAGAATGGCTGTAATGGTACTGTAGGCTTTTCTCCTTTTATGTGGGGGTAGGAAAATTGTTTCTTTGAAGTTACATCATGGTAGAAATCAAATGCCGAATACATTTCCATTTTTGTCTTTTTAAAAATAATTTTTAAAATCATGTAGCTCATAATGGTTTTGTTACTTTTTTATTTTGAAGGATCTGCAGTATGTACCCATACATATGCATGAGCACTAAAAGTAAAAAAAATTATACTTGTAGACAGGTGGATTAGTACCTATTGCACTTACTTGTAAGGTTGATGTAATTGCAGCATCCAGTCTCTGAAACTAGAACTGAAAGAGTTTTTAGAGGACTAATTTGGCTTTTCCCTCTGTGTGTGTGAGTGAGTGAGTGAGTGAGTGAGTGAATGTGAGAGAAAGGATCTCTTACCATTGGTAGAGGGGTGTTTTTGTTCATGTAGCCAGACTTCTTCAATCTGGCACCCTCCAGATCAGACATGGGCAAACTTTGGCCCTCCAGGTGCTTTGGACTTCAATTTCCACAGTTCCTAACAGATGGTAGACTGTTAGGAATTGTGGTAGTTGAAGTCCAAAACACTTGAGGGCCGAAGTTTGCCTGTGCCTGCTCCAGATGTACTAAATTGCAAGTCCAATCATCCCCTCTGTAGTCTGATGTGGGGAGTTTGCAGGCCTATAGATAGTATTATTGAACTGATGTCCACCACCATCCCTTATGACTGTTCATGCTGACAGCTGCTAATGTCAGTGGAGTCAAACAAGATCTCCATTGCCACAAGTTCCTTATTGCTGTTATTGTTTAGTATATTTACATGGTTCTAGTTTGGGTGAAGATGATTTTAGGATAAGGTGAGGCTTTGTTTTTACTCCCTCAACCCTTAAACTTCAGGTACTTTGTGACCCAGGGATAGAGACCCATCATCATGCCTTACAAAGCACTCTGCCAACACAGATGGGATTCATATCCATTTGCGAATAATGAGTGCTTCTTATATTCTGGGTTCTTTTTCAACTACAGCTGTCTAATTTGAGCTAGGGTGGCTGCTATTATTTCACCTTGTACTTTTGTTTGATGAAGCAGACAGTTCGGAAGAGGAGGTGGAGAAAGAGGAAATTTCCTTGCCGTAATTGAAAATAATGTACTTCAGCAGTGCTCAGTCAAATGCATTTCTAGAACCTAAAGGGATTAACTCTGTAATCTCTCTAGGCTGTCATTACTTGGAATACTCTTGGAGGATAGGTGAGATCCCAGGCAAATAGCAGAGAGTAGAGAGCTGATGTAATGAGAGGAAGGAAGAAAATGTGGGATTTACAGGGAAGTTAATGTTATCTATTTGTATTTTGGCAGTCATTACAGCCAGTTCTAAAACACCTACAGGGAAACCATAATTGCTTGTAGCTAGCAAGTGTTTATTAAAACAGGTTGCTTCAGAGCAGACCTGCAAGTTGTGGTAGCTTGAGCAGACTTTTAAGTTCAGTTTGTATTCAAGAAATGTTTTTGGTCCTCCTGTTTCCAGCAAACCTAAAAATGCATTGACCTCACAACCTCTGAGAATGCTTGCCATAGATGCAGGCAAAACGTCAGGAGAGAATGCTTCTAGAACATGGCCATATAGCCTGAAAAACCTACAACCCAGTGATTCCATCCATGAAAGTCTTTGACAATACAATGCATTGAACATTTGTGCCAAAAGGTTAGAAAAGAGGTGTAGTAGAAGACTTTCCTGCTTCTTGGCAGGTGGTTGGACTGGATGGTCCATGAGGTCTCTTCCAACTCTGTGATTCTATGAAGACATTCCAGATATTTGAAGGAAGTTGGTTCCTTATGGCGCCTTTCCCTTATTGTCCCCGCACACATCTTTCTGAATATCTGTTTTCCCAACGGTGAAGAATGGGACACATCTCATCTCACCAATGATTTATTTTGGGACAGGAAGTCTCCCTGGCTGGTGGGACACAGATTTTGCAAAACCCCTTTCCAGTCTCTGCTGCCTTGAATATATAGCTATTAGGCCCCAGTGGTGCAGTGGGTTAAATCCCTGTGCTGGCAGGACTGAAGACCGACAGGTTGCTAGTTTGAATCCGGGGAGAGGCAGGTGAGCTCCCTCTATCAGCTCCAGCTCCTCATGCGGGGACATGAGAGAAGCCTCCCACAAGGATGATAAAAATATCAAATCATCCGGGCGTCCCCTGGGCAACGTCCTTGCAGATGGCCAATTCTCTCACACCAGGAGTGACTTGCAGTTTCTCAAGTTGCTCCTGACACGACAAAAAAAAAGCTAGGTGGCAAATCTGTGGTCCTCCATATGTCTTGGGACTCCACCTCCCATTAGCTCCAGCCAGCATGCTTTGCAGTAATGAATGATGGGAGTGGTAGACAAACATACACCCAGGCAATCATAGGATCTCTACTAATTTAATGGGAGACTATAAATTTGGTGTATATATATCCATTGTGGATAAGGTGTTTGCTGCATCTTTGAGTTATATATAAATATCTAAATATAGGGCATGCACCCTAGCCACAATGGATCTAAATACCAAACTTCTAGTCTCCCATTAAATTAGGAATAGAGAACCGGGGGCCTCCTGGGTTTATACATATACAGTGGAACCTCTACTCAAGAGTGTCCCAACTTAACAGTGTTTTGAGTTAAAAGCTGTTGCTCGGCCCAAGTTTTGCTTTGTCATAAGAGCAGTATTTTGAGTTAAGAGCTAGCACCAAAGGGAGCGCTGGCATGAGAGTACAGGGCTTTAGAGCTTCGAGGGAGCAGCCTACGAACCTTGTGCTCTTGTCCGCTTTGTCTGTCTGCTTTGCCTGCTTTGAGGAACTTTGGGTTAGTTGATTTTGAGTGGTTTTTATTCCTGGTATGTTTGGCTTTGTGAAGAGGGAGAGGGAGCAAGAGAAGGAGGGAGGCTGGAATGAGTGCAGTATGAAGAAAATGATGCTTCTGCCTCTTCACTTTTGCTTTGTGCTTCCTTGCCACAAGTTTGTGCTTCTACCATTTTAGTTGATCTTTATTTTTTTACTGTTCAATGTGAATGTGCATTTTTGCATTATTTGTTATTTATAAAGTACATTTTCTTGTTTGAAAACATGTAACAAAAATGAGAGGGATTTTGGGGGGGGCAGAACAGATTAATAGCATTTCTATGAATTTCAGTGGGAAAATTCACTTCGAGATAAGAGTGTTTTGAGTAAAGAGCTCAGTCATGGAACAGATTAAACTCTTAATTCAAGGTATCACTGTAGATATTAACCCTCAATATTTTTTTAAAAAATCAAAGCTGTCTTTGTTGAGTGAAGAAGGGCTTCAAGTTTAATTTCAGCAATGATGTTGCAAGACAGAAATCATAAACTCTTTCCACTCCCTTGTTCTTTCCCTGCAAAACTTAATTGTTATTTTTTGGGAAAGGTAAAGGGAGAGAAAAATATTTCAGTTTTATCCTTTCAATCAAACTTGGCTGGCCATCTTCCTGCATGCTTGAAGATTAAATCTGAGAGATTGTTCTTGTTTTGTCTCCATAGCTGTTTTTCCCTTTGAGAGCTACAACTACGGAATTGTTCTTTGGCAATCCTTTCTCCTGGAACTCTGAGCTGCCAGCCATATTTCCCCTTTTCATTTTTAACTAATGAGTACTGCAAATTTGTCCAAGTACTAAAATAACGTCCTTTCTATTTTCACTATCAGGACCTGTCCTCAGGGCGTCTGGAGCAGAAATTGGTGTGGGTGGAGCGTCCCATTCTCCGCATCCCCCATCTGGCCATCCACCTCCAGCGCAATGTGAATGAGAGCTTTGGACCAAACACTGAGCACCATCTGTGAGTTTCAGCCATCATTTCCCCTTTACTTCTCAGTCTGTCCCTTTTTAAGAAGGATATCCTAGCTTTCCGTAGCCCTGGGTGTCAGTGGGGTTCATTGATATCAGAGGAGTGATCCTAATAGTGTGGAGGCAGTCCCATGAAAGTTTCTTTTTCTCTATGGTAGAATCCCACAGATGAATTGAGACCCTCTAGGAATCCAACTTTTTTACTTTAAAGATTGCCAATTGTGGCTTGATTTAGAAGAACTTTTTTTCTCCACCTTTCCTCCTGTATTTATTATTTATTTATTTACTATATTTATATACCACCTTTCTCATCCCTGTGGGGACTCAAGGCGGTTTACAACATCAAGGTGGTTTACAACACTTGTAACGGAATATCTATCAGATCAATGTGTTTAGTCATAGTGATCAAAGTGTGCTATCTGAACCCCTTCTTTAGAGAAAGGGAACCAATCGCCATTGGGGGTGATGGGAGTTGTAGTCCAGCAGGAAAAGACTGATGCAGGGATTCACTTGCCACAAAGGGCAGAAGGAGATTTTTATAGAACATTTGGCCTGGTGACTCCTTAAAGCCAAGGAGGCTTTTAAACTGGGGCCTATACAATCCATAGTCTGAAAGTGGCCCTTAGTCCCTCTGGATTCTCATTGACATCCCAGCATCCCCATTGTTCACTTAAAAAAACATTTGGAGCAACAACAAGCCAGTCTACTTGAAGCCATTTAAGACTGCTTTCAAAGTGCCCCTCCTGTCATAAATCAAGATACCTCCCAGAAAAGTCCTGGAAGCAACCAAGAGTAATGCAACATCAATGTTGGCTGCAACAGTTTAGGTCACAGGGATTGTGGAGGAGCCAAATATCACCCTGTGAACCTGGTGTGAAGCCATCTATGCAAGTTTATCGGGAGCTACAGCTTACTAATCTATTTGTTATATCTTTCCTCTTATAAGCGTAAGGTGGCATATATGATTTTCTTCTCCTGCTCTTTATCTTTATGATGTAAGCTCTCAGACTGAGCGAGCAAGAGGTCCAAAGTTTCCTAGTGGGTTTCATGACTCAGTAGGGACCCAGATCTACAAAATCCAAAGCCAACTATCTATAACCACATGTTAATTACCTTTCTCAGGGTCCCAATTTTGGCCACAGAAGTCCAGGATGCTCTGGAGAAGGAAGAGTCCCTGTCTGGGAAGATTTCCACCTCACCCTTCCTGGTGAGAAAGAAGCAGGTGTCTTGGCTGGAGGGTTTCACTTAGGAGGGAATAGAACTATATCGCGAGGGAGTATCTGTGTTGCAGGGTAGCTCTTGTCAGTTCTCTTTAACGCTGACCACTTCATTTTTGGCAGCATCGTCACTGTCCGGCTCTCCTGTCCCTCATCTGCTCCCAGCTGGAGGTGAAACCTGAGCAAGTGGTAGAGATGGAGTTGTGCCTCGTGGATACACAGCCTCCAGTGTGTATAATTTTTTTCCTTTCCTGAGGGATCATATGCAGCATTTACTTTCAGATGGACTTCCCCTTTTTAAGGGTTGATTGCTAGGAAGATGAAATTGTCTCCTTGTTCTATATAGCTTTCCTTAGCAGCTGATCCAGTGGGGAGAGTCTTTCTTCTTAGTGTTTATTTACCTACTTACCGTATGACCACCATATCTGCGGAAAATACATTCTTGTACTTACTGTGGAAACAGGAAGCCGATGATGACAGCAAACCCTGTTGAAATTAATGACTTCCACTAGAAGTTACCCTAGAGCCTTCTTGGAAGACCTATGTATTCTCTCGAGGAATTTGCTAGGACCTTCACTGAGACTTTAGGATAACATCTGGTAGAAGGAAACCATGGAATCACCTGGAGGATCAGTTGCTGAGCCCTTTTTGCAGCAAAAGTTTCATGCCAAAAAATGTGTATATGTGTGTGTGTGTGTGTGTGTATAATGTATATCAACATATAATGTATATCAACATAAACTTAACAGTATTTCAAAGAAAGACCCCAGGGGCCATCCAGTCCAAAGCACAGGGCCACCCATCCTTTGTAATAATAATAATAACAACAGCAACAACAGCAACAACGACGACAGGAACCCCAGGGACCAGGCAGTTCAACTCTCTTCCATGCAGGAAAAGCACAATCAAAGCACCCTCAACAGATGGTCACCCAGCCTTTGTAGCAATAATAACAATAATAACAGAAATCACAAGGGCCATCCAGTTCAGTTCCATTCCGCCATGCAGGAAAAGCACAATCAATGCATCCCCTGAGTGGTGGGAAAGAAATAGGGTTTTGGAAGCAAGCAAGGTGAGGGGAAAGAGCTTTTGACAACAAGGGGGACAAGGAAAAGGGTTTTTTGAGGGTGGGGGAGGGGGAGGAGCAGGAAAGAGAAAGGAAAGTTTGGGGGGAGGAGAGGAAAGGAACTGTGAAGCCCCTCAGTATTCTTCACGGAGCCCCAAAGGCTCCACGGAGCACACTTTGAGAACCACTGATATTGAATATAGGAAGGTGAAACCATGGCTAAGGGGAGTCAAATGGTGTTCTGCTTCTGAGAGTTTATCCAGTTGCTATCTTATTACTTGCTATAAAATACATGGGCAACACTGTGTGAGGGTAACAGCCAGATACATTGAGAAGAGAGTAGTAAGGGCAAAAATGGACCTTGGTTGTGTCTTTTTTTTCCCCCTCCACTGTGATTTATTTATTTTATTTTATTTTTGCAGACTTTAGGTGGTGTCTACAATGAGTTCATATTTTCCCCTCGTCTGGACAACCTCCATAGTTGCTACTGTGCACTACAGGTAAGTTATTCACACAGGAAAGCAATTTTAGGAGGCTTATAATAATTTGTGACCCTTTATTGCTGGTAGCAATCCTACTGTAACAGACAACAGTGCCAACCTTCAGGACATCATTACCTTTCCTTTGATGAAGGTACTTGTATTCATCTTCTTTTATTTTCAGTCATTTTCCCTGCAGTTAAAGTATTTTTAGCTCCTTTTAATGGCTGCATCTGCACTAACCATTTAATGCAGTTTCAAATCGGTATTGAAGAAAGTGGTTTCTCTGTGTAGATGATTACATACATAGGAAGTCCTGGAACTAGTTTGATGTCTGGATGGGGATTATACACACCATAGAGCACTGATAAACATTAAGGGTGGGTTTTTCACACTTTTGTGGGAGTTTGTTGTCTGACCACTACAGTTTGAAGCTAACTTAGAACTGCATTAAATGATCATTGTAGACAGGGCCAGAATCCAATCTGTTTCTATAGCACACCCATGCTCTGCTCTACCCAGCTTTCTGACAGAGGAGGAAGACAACTTCATATCTAGGTTCTAAGGGCCTCAGGAGGACTAGGAGGCAGTCAAAACACATTTTCCTAGTTTTTCAGGTTCCAGATATCCTGTGGAGAAATTCAATCGGGACCAAAAAAATAAGCTTGCCTGCATAATCAAGAGTGATAAATGTTTCAGTGCTTCATTTGCAACACATTTTTCTTGTCTTTCCTTGAAGATAGAATAGATAGATAGAATAACATTATTCTATGTAAAGAGTGTGTCTGGATACATGAACACACATTCATAAAAATAAGAAAACTTCTATGAGAGTTTTGAGGATTTTTTTCTCATGAGAGCAAAAAGTAAAGCATTTTTGTCAGCAGTAATGCGAAAGCAGTTGGAATTTGTGCTATATTTTGTGCAAAAGCATCATATTATGAATCCAAAAAAAGATAACCCCCCCTCCCGAAATATCCCCAAATGCAAACACACACACACAATTTTCCCAGTGGAAAACAACTTCAAAGAAACATTCTTCCTGGTATCTAAGAGCAAAATCAATGAGGAAATGACTTCTAACTCTAGAAATTGGCTCCTCTGGTTTCCTATGGATTTGGTTTAGCTGGAGAGGTCACTCTTTGTTGACTTTGTTCTTCAAAATTTTGTTTCTTTGAAGTGGTTCTCCACTGAGAAAATTAGGAGCATTTTGCATGCAGTTTTCCTGTCCTGTCCTGACCATTCATCCTGCCCTCTTCTCTGTCTCTACAGGCCCTGATTGAATCTAGCGAAGCTCCTGGAGCCCTTGATAAAGAACGAAATGTGCGCCTGGTTGCCCTTTATGACAACGAAGAGGTCAGTGGGAGAAGCTTGTGGGTTGCCAAAGCTAATTTTGGGTAGAAAGTGGAAGGAGCCTACACTATTCCGACTTGGGTGAAAAATTTGGGAAGTGTCCGAACATGGTAGGATGGTGGATGGAGTGGAAATACACTATGAAAAAGAGGCTTCAGTGAAATAAGTGGATCAAGGCAGGAAGCAAAGTTGTTCTCCAGGAGAGGAGATAGAATTCTGTAAAGAAACTATCTCCAGAGGTTGGGAAAGTTACTTTTGGGGGGCTATAACCCCAAGAACTCACTACTCAGAAAGAAATCTGGGAGTTGTAATGGAAAACACTTTGAACAGCTTCTTTATTGGTTGCTCTTTTCCTGTCAGGTTGGCTCTGATAGCGCCCAAGGGGCTAAGTCACTCCTCACTGAACTAGTCCTTCGACGTATCTCAGTTTCACCCCAGAACCTGACAGCGTTTGAGGAAGCTGTGCCAAAGTCCTTCATGATCAGTGCAGATATGGCCCATGCAGTGCACCCCAACTATGCGTGAGTATATCTCTGCTGAATTGCAACAGGGTTTGGTGAGGATTTTGATAAAAAATTAAGCGTTGTTGCGTATGCTTCCTGCCACAGGCTTAGAATCTGGCATCTGTTGTTGAATTCTGCTTTCAAAGAATCTCTGCTTTTGTGAAACAACATAAATGAAGTCCTTGTGAGTCCATCAGTGTAATGGAAAGAAATTGTTTTGACAAGAACTTTAGAACATAAATGCAGATATGTAACCCAGTCTAATTTTTAATGTCTTATATTAAATGTCTGAGTGACCAATCACCCTATCAGTTTAACCCAGCTTGTAAAAGAAGTGGGAACTGTCGAGTCAGGAAGGGTTTCCTCACTCCTCTATCACATTTCTGACATTTGGATGCCCGTTTTCCTTAGTTTGATGTTCCTTTTTCTCTATTTACAGAGACAAGCATGATAGGAACCACCGTCCAGAGTTCCACAAGGTAAGTGGTAGGGACGACTCTGCAACAAATACAATTTAAGGGGGAAGAGACAGGTTCTCAGCAAGCAGAATGTGAGTAAATGCATCACCACCAAATATGGGTAAATGCAAACCTGGCAAGTGCAAACCTCACTCCTGAAATGGGTGTTATTTCCCTCTAGAACCAGCGTTCCTAACTAGATGATGTGATGCTTTTTAATAAATTGTGGTAATCATTCTGCCTTAGAAAAACATTGTGTGTGATAACCACTCTGGAGGACATGTAATCCAGTGGCACAGATAGAAGGAAATACATTATTATTGTTGTATGCTTTCAAATTATGGGGATACTAAGGCGAACCTTATAATCTCCATGTGGTGTTTTCTTGGTGCACTTTGTTCAGGGGGGATTTGCTATTGCTGTCCTGTGAGGCTGAATGAGTGTGGTTTGCACAAGGTCACTCAGTGGGTTTCCATGGCTGAACAGGAATTCAAACCCTGGTTCCAGAAGCATAATGATCAATCCACTACACTATGCAGGCTGTCAAAAGGAAGTATGTTAAAAGTTGTTGGGCACTGTCTTTTTTTTTCTTTTTTCTGTTTTTTTTGTATTCTGGGAACATCTGGGCAGAAGGTGCAGGGAAGATGGAGAACATTTATTATATATATTATTATGTGGTTATAGTTATATCCCACCTTTTCCCTGTGGTTCAAGGCAGCATGCATGCTTCTTCTCCCTGTTTTTAAAGATATCCTGTTAGGTAGCTTGGAATAGAAGACTGTTTCTCAAACTGCTCCTCCAGTGTTTTGGACTTCAGCTCCCAGAAATCCCAGCCAGCATACCACCTGTTAGGAATTGTGGGAACTGAAGTCCAAAACATCAGAAGAAGCACAGTTTGAGAACCCTCGAATAAAAGAAAGCAGTTGACTTGGTCACCCAGTAAGCTTCATAGCTAAATGGGAATTTGAATCTTGGTGTCCCAGTCCTATGTCAACTCAAACTAAAAAGTTGGCATTTTTCAGTATTTGATGGGACACTTTTGCAAGATTGCAGCCACCATTGGCCTTCCTGTCCTCCATTGTATTCCAAAATGGGGTAGAGGGATTGTGTGTATATGCACGTGCGTGTTTTTATATTGAGGTAATCTTAGATACCAGTGAATACTACTGGCCACATTTTCAGCTATTTTCAGACCTCCACACCTTTTGAAAATCATGTACAAGCACCCCCCCCCCCCAAAAAAAAACCAACATAAGAAGCAGGAAAGGACTGACTTTTCAGCTTTGGGCACTTGATTTGTAAACAAGGCTTCAACGGGCTGAAAGAATGCTTCAAGAAAATCAAAGGTGGAAGAAAGATTTCCCTAAATGGCTAACTTCTCCTGTCTCATTGTAGGAATATAGTTATGTCCTGTCTATAGATTCCACAATATCTGTGAGATGCTAGTAAATGTATGTGGAGTGATAAAAGTGGAAGGCTATAGGTCCAGTCCTGAAGTTAGTAACTCTGGCAAGTTTGCATATTCCAGATGCTGATTCAGAGTTGAGGGATAAGAAAACTATAAGGGGACTGCTAAATGGCAGTGCTACCCTAGTCCTGGCCTGAAATGGAACAGAAATTTTATTCTGGTATATAGATATCCGTACAACAATAATTCTGGCAGGCCTAAGTGTCAATCTTTCACAGGCCTTTTCTCACTGTCTGTGTTTGAGTTCTGGCTCAGGCTTTGGAGAACAGGGACTATTTTTGGTGATGAGTGGGCCAAAACTTGCAGTTTCCTTATCTTCTGTCTCTATTGAATTGTTTTGCTACACAGGGGCCTACAATCAAAGTGAATAACAATCAACGCTATGCATCAACTGCTGTCACTGAGGCTTTACTTCGTGAGATTGCCAGCCAAGTGAAGGTCCCCTTGCAAGTAAGCGTTGTGCTTTAGGGCGATGGCCACTAGAGGGAGGGTTGGCATATAGGAGGCTGTGCTTCTACTGTATAGGGAAATAGAAACTGGTACTGTTACATCCCTGAGCAATTTCCAAAGGAAGTTTTACCAACCACAACACAAAAAACAACTATATGGTCCCTAAGTAAAATTAAAAAAAATGAAGGTGGGTGATACCTTTTTCTTAGGACCATTATAATAATATAGAGGCTGCACAAAAGTGGTGCAAATTTTTGAGTTCACCAGAACTCTTAATTAGGTATGATGACACAAAAATTACATGATATAAAAGGAAACAAATTCCAAAAACCAGGCCTGGTGATTTGGCCATTAAGACTGTGTGCCGCTTCAAGGCTCTGTGAATTAAATGGGTACTTATCCACAGTTAATGTTTCTGTTAGATAGCAACCTTCTCAAGCCTCCTCTATGTTTATCAGTTTATAATGTGTCATTTTATTTCCTGAAGTGTATGTCTTATTTGGTTTGCAGTTTCCTTAGCTCTGTGTACTTGAGGCAGTGGGAGGGGCTGCAGATCACGTGACTGTTTAGAATGCAGTTTTTTTAAAAAATATTTTTATTAAGCTTTTAAACATACATATAAAAAAGAATCTTGGGCAGGGAAAAGAGGGAGGGGAGGGGGGGTATTTGGGTACATTCACTCCTTCACGCAATCACTCCTAGTGTCCTTCATCTGTTCTGGTGCCATTTGGCTCTTCTTTCATCCCATGCGGGGGGGGGGGGGGGGGGGGGGGGAATGGGGAAGGGTAATTGGTGTGACAGGGAAATAAGAACTTCCCGATTAGTCTGTGCATTTGGTATGTATAAATGTTCTTTGTAACTCGAACATTAGTCCATGTCTTCGTCTTTTTTAAGCAATGTTGAGCATTCTTTACTTTTAGGCCTTTCTATTCTTAAAGTAGTTCAGGAAACTGTCCCAATTCGTATTTTTCCTCTTGTCATTTTCTTTAGAGAGTCTTTGAGTCAATAAATCCATGTTCATTAGGTCATACACTTTCATGATCCAATGCTCTAGTGTTGGTAATTCATTAGTTTTCCATAGTTGCGCCAGTTTTATTCTGGCCGCTGTAGAGAGATAGAAAAAAAATTTTTGTTTTCATTGAGCTCTAGTTTAAAGTCTAAAATACCCAATAGAAAGTATTCCGGTTTTAATTTGAATTTTATGTGGAGGATTTTTTCTATTTCCTTGTGTATCTGGCGCCAGAATGCTTTAACCTTCTTGCAACCCCACCACATATGCATAAAGTTTCCCTTGGCTCTCTGACACTTCCAACATTTCCCCTCTGTTTTCCCCTTGTTGAATTTCACAATTTGTTCCGGTGTCAGGTACCACCTGTAGAAAAGATTGTACCAATTTTCTTTGATTTCATTTGCATATGCGAGTTTTAATTTTCTTGACCATATTTCCTCCCATTCCTCAAGTCTGATTGAGCGACCAATGTCTTTGGCCTATTTAACCATATTATCCTTAATTTGTTCCTTTTCTGTTTCCCAGGAGAGTAGCTGTTGATATATTTTCCTAATATGTTTACTATCTGTTTTTAGAATTTTCTCACAAATGGTATCTTCAGTTTCAAATCCCAGTTTTTTATCTAAGTTGTAGCTTTCTTTAATCTGATGGTATTGAAACCATGAAATATTGGGGTCAAATGCTTTTAATTCTTCTTGGGATTTGAGTGTGGGACCTGACGGTGAGCTCTTTAGTATATCTTTGTACGTTAGCCAATCTTCCCTCGGGACTCCCCTAATTTGACTTGCCTCATTAGGTGAAAACCATAACGGTGTTTTTTGGTAAAGTTTTGTTCTATATCTCTCCCAGATTTTTAGTAGAGGGTCACGTACAAAATGATTTTTAAAATTGCTCTCTCCCTTCGCCTTTCCCCTCCACAGGTAGTTATGCCATCCTTGCATTAAATCGAAACCTTCTAGAGCTAGCAGGTTTCTTTCCTTAAGACTTATCCAGTCCTTTATCCAGCACATGGCCGCAGCGTCATGGTATAATTGCAGATTTGGTAATGCGAGGCCTCCTCTTTTCTTACTATCGCACATGTTCACAAAACTTATTCTATGCCTCCCTCTCTTCCATATAAAATTTGTAATGTCCTTATGCCAGATTTTAAAGGGGGCCGTTGTTTTTACTATTGGGAGCGACTGGAATAAGTGGAGTATGTCCGGTAGGATGCACATTTGGATCGCTGCCACTCTCCCCATCAGGGAGAGGTTTAGTGCTTCCCATTTCTTTAGTTTTCCTCTGATTTGGGACCATTTTTGCTCATAGTTATTTTTATATAGTTGGATATTTTTTGTTGTTAGTATGATCCCTAGATATTTCACTTTTTTCACTATTTTAATCTTTGTTCTCTTTTGTAATTCTTCCTCTTTCTGTTTAGAAATGTTCTTAGTAAGCATTTGGGTTTTAGTTCTATTTATTTTGAAGCCCGCGACTTCTCCATAGAGATCTATTTCTTGCCACCATTTATTTATGGTCTTTACTGGATCTTCTATAATACAGATGATATCGTCTGCGAAGGCTCGGATCTTAAAAGAATGTTTTCCTATCTTTAAGCCTTTTAGTTCATCATTCCTTCTTATATTGCTCAGTAGTATCTCCAGAGTTAGAATGAATATTAGGGGGGATAGGGGACACCCCTGTCTGGTGCCTTTTTCAATTCTGAACCTTTTTGATGATTGCCCGTTTATGACTAAGCTTGCATATTGTTCAAAATATAGCGCCTCTATTGCTGTAATGAAGTTGTATCCAGTGTCCATTTCTTTTAGGATTTCCTTGAAGAAAAACCAATTGACGTTATCGAACGCCTTCTCGGCGTCGAGGAAAAGAAATGCCACCTCTTTTTGTATTCTCTTCTCGTAATATTCTATTGAGTCTATTATTGTACGTATATTATCTTTTAATTGGCGCTTTGGAAGGAAACCTTTCTGTTCTTCTTCTATTCTGTCTCTTAGAATTTCTTTTAGTCTGTTTCCGAGTATGTTGGTAAAGATTTTGTAATCTAGGTTCAGAAGTGATATCGGTCTATAATTTTGGATTTGAGTATTATCTGTGTTACCTTTTGGAATCAGCGTCACATTCGCATGCTTCCATGTCTCTGGGATTTTTCCTTCCTCCATCACTTTGTTCATTATTTTTTGGAGTAGGGTTATTAGTTCGTCTGTGAAGGCTTTATAGTAAGCGGCCGTAAAGCCGTCAGGTCCTGGCGCTTTGTTAAGGGGTAGATTTTTAATTGTTCTCTTGATCTCTTCCTTGGATATCTCCTTGTTTATTATCTCCCTTTGGGCTTCTGTTATTTTTGTTATTTTCTGCTTGCCTAAAAACTGCATAACCTTTTCTTTGGGGATATTGTCTTCCGCGTATAATTTTTTGTAGAATTTTGTGAATTGATCTATTATCTCTGAAGTTTGATTGTATGTCTTTCCCTCTTCTTCTATACGCAATATTATGCGGGACTGTTTTTTGCTTGCCAATTTTCTAGCCAGCCATCTGCTTACAAAGTTCTTTAACTGGGTTCCAGTGGGAAGGCAGGAATAACCTAGATTTCATCTTCCTTCACCACAAGAGATCTTCCAAGAGAAGAGCAGAAATGGGAGTCCTGGCCAACCTGTCCTGCTCATCCTGGGAATACTGGGATTCTCTGGGCTGCTGGGAGGCAAAAGAGCCACTGTGTGAGACATCCCACAGTTTTTGTATTTGTTCTTTTTTCCAGGCATTGGAGACAAATGCCCAATTTCACCTGAAGGCAAATTTGAAACATGTGTAGACTTCTGCCATTCAGATGATGACTGCCCTGGGATCCGGAAGTGCTGCGAATATCGATGTGGACATCTCTGCAAGTTGCCTGTTGAAAGGGGTGAGTCCATTTCCCTTGCACTGGTAACCTTGCACCAGAGCTCAAGCTAGAAACATATTCATACACTTTGCAGTAGTTGGAGGTCCTATGTAAAGAGCCAACACAGCATTGGCTTGGAATAAAGAATCATAGAATCCAAGAGTTGGAAGAGACCTCATGGGCCATCCAATCCAACCCCATTCTGCCAAGAAGCAGGAATATTGCATTCAAATCACTCCTGACAGATGGCCATCCAGCCCCTGTTTAAAAGCTTCCAAAGAAGGAGCCTCCACCACACTCCGGGGCAGAGAGTTCCACTGCTGAACGGCTCTCACAGTCAAGAAGTTCTTCCTCATGTTCAGATGGAATCTCCTCTCTTGTAGTTTGAAGCCATTGTTCCGCATCCTAATCTCCATGGAAGCAGAGAACAAGCTTGCTCCCTCCTCCCCGTGGAGGAGGGAGCTGTTGCTTCACTGTCCACCTGCAACACTGATGAAGTATTTCCTCATTCCCCACATGCTTTTGCTGGAGATTTTTATGGCCTCGTAAATTAGTTAAATTAGCCTCCCCACACATAAGTGGTACCTAATTTTCCTACTTGACAGATGCAACTGTCTTTCGTGCTGCAAAGGTTGACAACAAGCTACACAATTGGCCAGAAGCTCACTTCGACCTGGGCTGGCTTCAAAATTATGACCTTTCGTCAGTAGTGATCTTAATGCAGCTGACTCCCAGCCAGCTGCGCCACAAAAAATGCCAAACGCATCAGATCCCGTACGCCCTGATAGTTTGAATCTTTATGGTTTGGGGAAACAGGGATGGAGCGCTCAATCCTCCAAGAAGCTCCTGGGAATCCCCTTCTGGTTTCCTCCGTTCACTTCTCTGGCACCACAAAGCAGGGAGGAGAGCAGGGAGCCGGCAGTCCGAAGGATGTGCAACAAGACCTCATCAAAACATTGTCCCACATCCCCTGCTCATGGAAGGGTTAGAGGTGGAAACAAAAGAGAATCAGGTGGTTGCCTGGGACTCTTAACTACTTGAGCCCTTTGCCTATGATTCTAGGGTTACCTTCTAAAAACACTCACAGGATGCAGGGTGCCACCAGGAGAAGAAAACCTTGGTCTCCTAAGCTGAGGGGAAGAGGGTTGTTCTCCTTCCTGGGATGTGAGCAAAGCACTCTACACATGCTCAGTGTTCGCAATTTTGTTTCCCTTGTACATTAATGGGGATTTTGCGTTCTCTCTGAGGATTGCATCCCTTGTTGCTCTCTTTGTAAAGAAGACCAAGACGTCACGTGGGACTTTGTTCTTCTTCGCATAGTTGGAGTTTATCCTCAGGACCCGGTCCAAGTGGTTACCTATAATATCTGGAGTGGTCTTGCATAGGGGCAATATTAGTTCCGTTATTATTTCTCGGATATTTTCATTATCCTCTTCTATTACGTTGCGGAATCTTAATTGATGTTCTTTTTCTCTAAATTCTTGTGTTTCTTTATGAAGTGTTAGCAAGGAGATTTCCCCCTCCATTGTTTTTAGTTTCTTTCTTAAGTCAAGTTGTTGCTCTTTAAAGTTCTCATTCTCTTTTTTAAGTTCACTATTCTCCTGTTTCAGTCTGATTATATCTTCTCTCGTCTCGTTCATCTCTCTCTTAAGAGCATTATGTAGTTCTTCTTTTAGGTCTTTCTTCATCTCTTTAAGTTCTTCTTTTAAAGTTGAGTTTTGTGTGTCTTGTGATTCTTTTAGGTCTTTCTTCATCTCTTTTAATTCTTCTTTCAGCGCTGCATTCTGGGTGTCTTGCTTCGTTTGGATGTTCTGTATCACTAGATGTAGTTTGGTTATTTCTGCTAGCACATCTTTAATGTTCGGTTCTTCTGGTGGTGTGTCTTTCTTGTTGCTCATCTTTTTGTCTTTCTCTTTGTCTCTTTCCTGTTTTTTTTGGGCAGACATCTCTGTTTATATTGTTGGGTCCTCCTTAGTCCTTTTTGTTGTCTTCTTATCGGTTTTGGGTCTTTCCTGGGTACTCTGGATATTTTGAATTTCCTTCTGTGCTTCTTTATACCTTTATATCTTTATTCTTACTCTCACTCTCCTTGATTCTCTTCGCTCTCCCTGTGACCTCTCTCTTCCTCTCCTCCCTCTCCCACTTCGCCTTCTTGTCCGCTGAGCTTTTCTTTACTTATTATTTGCTTAAATTCAATTCGTTATATTCAGTTCGTTTAACTTAAAGTTAATGTGTACCTTATGTTTGGCTCAGTTGCTGCCGTTGTCTTGTCTTCTTTTCTTCTAATCCCTCTTCTGTTCCCTCTTCTCAGCTTGTTTGATTATGTTTGTTTATGTTGGTCTGTTCCTTTCTCGCGTTGCTTCCTTGTCCCGCGTTTTCTCGCGAGATTTCCTCTGCGCGCTTCCTTGTTCTCCCTCTTTCTCTCAGTTCTTATTCAGTCTTCGAAGAGTGAGGGCGCTGAGTCGCGAAGTGGGTTATAGTAGTAACGGTTGGAGTCAGATGTTTGGGAGGGGAGGGTGGAGGGTGGAGAAGAGGTGAGGGGAGGCTGCCGGGGGCAAGTCGAAGCAGAGGACCAATGAAATAGTGGGTGAGGAGTGAGTGAGGGGTGCACCGGAGGCTAGCCGAGCCGTTCAGGAGGCGCCGCCGCTGCCCCGCAAGCCAGCCACGAGGTCGCGGAGGACGGAGCGAGGGGGTACCTGCTTTTTTATTTCCTTTTTCCTTTCCCCACACTATTAGGCTCTTGCCCGCTCTACTCCGTGTGTTCACTCCTTTCTTCTCACTTCTCTTCTCTTCTCCTTCCTTTCTTCCTATCTCTGACTCTCTCTTTCTCTCTGGGCGTTTCCCGTTTGCTGTTTTTGCTTTTTGCTTTTGCCTTCCTTCGTCTTCTCACTTATCTTTCTTTTGTTTTCCCCCTTTTTTCTCTTATTATTTGTAGCTCAGACCATCTCTTTTCTCTCTTTTCTTTCTTTTCTCAGGTGGGGTGGTTTAAAATAGCGGCCGGTGTTCTAGTTCTGGCCTTGGCCTTTTCTTGCCTCGGCCAGAGATTCCCACTTCTTGCCTTTGCCTTATGACTTCTTGGGGGGGGGCCCCCGAGGAGGCACTAGTCTAAGGTCTCGGCTGCCCTGTTTACATCCACTGGGCAGGGGGAGTAACACTCACCCAGAGGCTTCAAAGGGGGCAAGCTCACGGCAGGGAGCTAGAGCTTGCTACGTCCGCCATCGCGCCGCTACCGGAAGTCGAAACGCACCTTTATTCTAGAATGCAGTTTTAAAAAGGGTGACACTTGAGCCTTTAGCTGTTGAGTCTTGTATCTGTTTGAGTACGGAAGTCTATTTTCAGTCAGATGCCACTGTAGGAAGTTAGAAAACTGTTGATGCTTAATTTTCTTTGAAAGTGGACTGTTATGAAAAAGAACTGTACAGAGCAATATAGTTTTTGAAGAGAAAGACAATAAATTAAAAATACAAACTGAAACGTTCTAAAGTTTAACCTGACAGGAAATGTGCCTGTATCTTTAAATACATGAAGTTATGAGTAAACAAACATGTTACTTTAAAAGAAGTCTGTTTGAATCTTTGTCTGCTGTGAGCATTGAATAGAAAATAGATATCTACGTGCCCAGTGATCATCCTTTACCCAGTAAACTAAAGGCAAACATCCTTTAATACCCAATAGGTTATGATCCTAACAGATCATACTTCTTAATGGATTGTGATCCTAACAGATTATAATCCATCATCCCAATAGTTTCTTCATCTCCTGCAATGAGAGAACTGGTTGATACCTTGAGAACTCTTTTTGCCTTTTCTGAAGATTAAAGCCTCCTTTACAGCAGAAGATGACCTGACCAGTGCTGGGCATTTTAGTTTGGTGGATTTTACTACCAGCAACAAATAGGGCAAGTTTTGTTGCTTGCAGTGGGAGTGGAATAGATCAGAGACAGTAAAATTTGAGGGTGAGAAACCATGGAGAATACCCTAACTATTTTCCAAGATGTCCTAGTTTCACTTCCATTTCCCCTTGAATTCCTCAATATGCTTCTTGTGTGGCCCTTGATGCTGGCTCTGGATTTGTCACTGTCAAAGGTCATGTCCCAAAGATTGTAGAACTGAATCCCAGCGTACCTGGTTCTCCTTATACTTAATTGTCAGCTAATTAAATTTTGCTATATCTGTTTCATGCCCCTTTCCTTTTTTAAAAATAAAAATTATTAGTTAAGAATGCCAAAACTCTGTTATTTACAATATCTTTAAAAATGGGGCATGTGGAGCAGTGAGGATGAGGAAAAATTACCTCAAGTGAACAGACAGAAAAGAAACATATAGTTATAGACTCGAATTTCTAGGGATCTGGGGAAGGAAAGAAGGTAAGGAAAAAAATTGATTTCCAATCTTCTCCACTGTGATCCACTTTTGTCCTTTTTTGATTCTTTATATTCTTACTCTCCCCTCTTCAACAATTCCCAATAGGTAACAGTTATTCTGGTGGTCATCACTAAGTAATTGAATAGTCTATTTTTTATTTTTGTCCATTTCTATATCTATATCCCACCTTGGAGTTTAAGATCTTCTGGGGAGGCCTTGCTCTCAGCCCTGCCTCTGTCTCAAATACGCTTGGTGGGGATGAGGGACAGGGCCTTCTCGGTGGTGGCCCCTCGCCTGTGGAATTCACTCCCTGGGGAAATTAGGTCATCATCATCCCTCCTCACTTTTAGAAACGTGGATGTGGGACCAGGCCTTCGGGTAATTAGGCGGAAATGATGATGTTGACAGTTGGCTTGGAAATGGTTTATGGATAAGTTAAATGGAGTACTCAATCTTAGAATTCGGCTAGACAATGGCCACCAGAGTGGTAATAGCTTAGTAGATTGTAAGTATATTGTTTTAATGTTCTTAATTTTTATAATTATTGGTTTGTATTTTTTTATTATGTGGCATTGAATTGTTGCCAATTGGAAGCCACCCTGAGTAGTCTCCCCACCCCACCCCGGGGGTTGAGAAGGGCGGGGTACAAGTGTTCGAAATAAATCAATAAATATAATTCCCAATAGGAAGTAATCTGGTTTTAATTAAATTTTTATTTCTGACATCATTTTTTTCATGCCCCTTTCCTGTATGAACCTTGTAGGAATTCATGGTCCGTAATGACTCTCCCTGTGGTTCCACTATTGGACCCCTCCTGTCCTCCCGCCTGGGCTTGCGTGTCCTGGATATTGGCTGCCCGCAACTAGCCATGCACTCCATTCGCGAAATGTGTTGCACCTCAGGGGTCCTTCAGTCGATCACTCTTTTTAAGGTAGGTGTAAACGTACCCATTGAGCACAAAGGTTGTTGGGGAGGGAATCAGAATCATAAGTGTTGGAAAAGACCCCAAGAGCCATCCAGCGCATCCCTATTCTGCCATGAAGGAACACACTATCAGCACTCCTGACAGATGGCCATCCAGCCTATGCTAAAAACCTCCAGAGAAGGAGGCTCCACCACCATGTTAAGCGGCAACATATGCCGCTCTTGCTGTCATGAAGTTCTTCCTAATTTTTAGGTGGAATCTTCTTTCCTGTAATTTGAATCCATTGCTCCATTGTGCCCTGGCTTCTAGAGCAGCAGAAAAACAAGCTTCAAATAGTAAAACATGGTTATCTGGTGTGTGTCCCATCCCTCCCCCCCCCCCCCAAGTCTTTTTTTCCCCCCAAGCCAAACATCCCCATTTCCTTATTGGGCTTGGCTTTCAAACCTTGTCAGTATCCTTGAATTGTGGTGCCTGCAACTGGACGCCACAATTCAATTTCTGTGTACTCATTTATATTGATTTTATTACATTTATGAATTATAATTACTTCTGCATTTATTTCCCTCGCCCACTTTCCCCTCCGTTCCCTTTCTATCCCCACAAGGCTGAGAAAAGTGTTTTTGCAGGGACGTGGATCCCCTGGATGAAGCCTGGATATTTGGGAGTGGAAAAATTAGCCTGGGTTTTCATTTTGTTGCATTTCTAATCCTCCTTTTTCCTCCCCACCACGTACACACACATATTGAGGTTTGCGCCCTGCTGCCTCCCACTTCCTCTTTCCTCTCTCCCCCTTTGAGTCTTGTCTTTATGTTACCGTGGCAACGACAGTGGCCTTGAGTCAGTGATTGGTTTCCATGGAAACATTGTGCCTCACGATCCTCTCTGGCTGCCATGGTGACGCCATCCTCTCTCTCTCTCTCTCTCTCTCTCTCTCTCTCTCTCTCTCTCTCTCTCGTCAGCTGCCCGGCTTCCTCTCCCTGAGGACCGAGGCTCCCATCCTTCCCAGATCTGACCCCTCCTTTTCTCTCCTTCTCTTTTTCTAGGGCTTTTTTGAGCGGTTTCCTGAGCTGAATCAGGATCTGCTGAGCAACTGACAGAGGTCTCGATGCTAAAGAGAAGCTTGCCTTCCTGTTTTCACCAAAATGGCTAAATAATAATAATAAAAACCTCATTCAATCCAATGCCCTCTGTGCCATACAGGGGGTCTGTGTCTGGCTGCTTATTGGTAAATTGCATGTCTTTATCTCGGCCCCAGAACAAACTTGCATTGCAGAGCTTTCAATCAAAGAGGCTCTGATATAGAAGAGTGTTATCCTTGTACCTTATGCAGAAATTTGGATCAAGCGAGTGAAGCTTTAAAGCAGGGGTCCTCAAACTAAGGTCCAGAGGCCTGATACGGCCCTCCAAGGTCATTGACCCGGCCCTCGCTCAGGGTCAACCTAAGTTTGAAACGACTTGAAATCACACAACAACAACAACAACAACAACAATCCTATCTCATCCCACACTTCCCATTGAAATACTAATAAGTTTATATTTGTTAAAATTGTTCTTCATTTTAATCATTGTATTGTTTTTAAGTGTTTTTTGCACTACAAATAAGATATGTGCAGTGTGCACAGGAATTCATTCATTTTTTTCAAATTATAATCCAACCCTCCAACAGTTTGAGGGACTGTGACCTGGCCCTCTGTTTAAAAAGTTTGAGGAACCTTGCTTTAAAGGATAATCCACAGTCATCTTGATGCCTCAGATGGCACCGAACATGTAGATGACAAGCCAGGACTGGTAAATGTCAGATGATGCATCGTTGAGTTTCTCATCCCACTCCTACATCCTTTCTTTGCTTGCTTAGCAGAGCTCTGAACTACTTACTTGTCATTCTCTATGAAGACGTTCTCTCAGAATGTCAATGAGAGACGTTAGTTGTTATTGTTGTGTGCCTTCACGTCACTCCTGACTTAACAACACCCCTATCATTGGATTTTCTTGACAGCATTTGTTTAGAAGTGTACTGTCAAAGGCTTTCATAGCCAGAATCACTAGGTTGCTGTGAGTTTTCTGGGCTGTATGAGCACTGTATGATCACCATCATGGTTGAGAAAGGACTGATGGAGCAATGGCAGGAGGGAATGCTTCTGGAACATGGCCATGCAGCCCAGAAAACTCACAGCAACCCACTCTTTAGAGGTGACTTACTATCATTTTCCTCTGAAGCTGAGAGAGTGTGACTTACTGAAAATCATACAGTGGGTGTCCATGGTTGAGTGAGGATTCAAGCCATGGTCTCTCAGGGTCCTAGGAAGGATCTACACCAGGCATGGGCAAACTTCAGCCCTCCAGGTGTTTTGGACTTCAACTCCCACAATCCCTAACAGCCAGTAGGCTGTTAGGAATTGTGGGAGTTGATGTCCAAAACACATGGAGGGCCGAAGTTTGCCCACGCCTGATCTACACTGTGGAATTAATGGAGTTTGACACCACTTTAACTGCCATGACTCACTGTTATGGAATCATGTAGTTTTACCAGGTCTTTGGCCTTCTCTGCCAAAGAGTGTTATAGTGCTATAGTACAATGTAATATATAATATTAATATTGTGCTATGATAATAATATAATATATTGTATTTACTTTTTACTTGTAAGCCGCTCTGAGTCCCTTTCGGGGTGAGAAGGGCGGCATATAAATGTCGTAAATAAATAAATAATAAATACCTCACTAGACTACAACTCTCATAATTCCATAGTATGAAGCCATGGCAACTCAAGTGGTGTCAAACTGCCTTGATTGTACAGTGTAAATATACTCTGCGTTCAATACTCAAAACCACTACATAACACTGGCAAGGCATTGATATCTAGGAACATCCATACACCCCTAAAACAAGTGAACTGCACATTTGCAAGGTTGCTTGTATACAGTAGGTTTTTGCTGATGTGTCTTCAACACAATTACACCATCATAGTGGTACAAATGTGTCTTATTCTTTTATTTTTGAGGATGTAGTGTAATGGGCATTTCTGTGGGAAGTAATTGCTCAAGTCCAAAATAGTGACTATACATATAAATGCTTCAAATAGATTTGAACCAATTGGGATGAGAACCATTCAGCCCTTGAATTGAAGCTCCCATCTTCCCTCACTATTGCTTGTAGTACATGGGACAAAGAACTTTGAGGGTCTCATGTTCCCCTGTAAAAGCAAAAGTGACATGGTCAGCACCCTTGGAGGACTTGCTCATAGTAACAACCAATAGTAGGAGCCCTGATACTTACCTCTTCATTTGCCCCAAATGTTCTCTCATTCTCCTTTTCCAAATGAATTCAAACACTTTGTATTTTCTTTTTTAGTTCCATTTTTGCTTTCCAAGGGTCACAGGGATTTGTCCCTCCCCTTAAGAGTTCTTGTTATTAATGATTTTCTATATTGAAGTTGGAATGAGACAAAAACAGTTTTGGTGCGATGTCAGATAATAGTTTTTATTCATTTTAATATGAAACAGCAAAAAAATGCAACAGCCTTTCATAACTTGTAGCTTTTTTAGGTATTTTGGACTACAGTTTCTTTTGTCCACATCCATCAGATTGTGCAAACCTAACATACCCATTTTGAAATGTGAATAGCTTTATTCTTGTATTATACAAAATGAGTAAATTCTTGTTAAAGCCATAGCATTGCTCCCTTGCTTTTACTTTTGTCCTTAAATGAACTCATAAAATTCATGTGAAAAATGGCCAAGGAACAATGAGGAGACAGTCAAGAAAGACTCCATCATTCATCACAAATTGATAGAATACATTTTTGGGAGTTTGAGATAGGGTGATCTGGTGGGATTCAGGTATCTTGACCTACAATTCCCATAATCCCCAGGCTGTAGTTTCTGGTCAGGGATTATGAGAGCATTAATGTAGGTTGTTCACACTGGTTTACAGACATGGCCAAACTTCGGCCCTTCGGGTCTTTTGGACTTCAACTCCCAGTAATCCCAGGCAGCTTACCAGCTGTTAGAAATTATGTGAGTTGAAGTCCAAAACACCTGGAGGGCCAAAATTTGCCCATGCCTGGTTTGGGGTGTCCTACATAATTTCTTGGCCTCATGTAATCCGCCCCAAGTCCCCTCAGGGAGATGATGACGGGGTATAAAGTTATTATTATTATTATTATTATTATTATTATTATTTCTGGATATCGGAAGCCATATTTGAAGTTGGCTGTTGGTAGGCTACTGTGTTGGTTTATCTCTTCATTACATTTATATCCAACTGTTTTGTTTTCCAAATTGCTCAGAGTGGGGAATATAGTTCTCTCAAGTTTTACTCTAAAACCTTGTGAGGCAGATGGGACTAAGAAATGGCTTAGCACCTGCTGAGTGGGTGGGTATTTCCAACCTCTTAGATCCACTGAGGAGAGGACAAACCATGTGGAATAACTGAATATGAAACCCATCATCTCTTTTTTAAATTGAAATGCCTTGCTCCTTTCCTAAAATGGTTTTCTCTGGGTTATTTAGGTATGTAGGAGGAGAAGTGGGCTGTGAAATAAGGCATGCCTCTTCACTATACAATCCAGGGCTTATTTATTTATTTCATGTCAAAAGCATTGCATAAATAAAAGGTAAAGGTTTCCCCTTGACATTAAGTCTAGTCCTGTCCAACTCTGGGGAGTTATGCTTATCTCCATTTCTAAGCCAAAGAGCCGGCGTTGTCCATAAATGCTTCCAAGGTCATGTGGTCGGCATGGAGCGCTGTTAACTTCCCACCGGAGCTGTGCCTATTGATCTTACATTTGCTTGTTTTCGAACCATTAGGTTGGCAAACGCTGGAGCTAACGGCAGGAGCTCACTCCACTCCACGGTTTCAAACCACCGACCTTTTGTTCAGCAGCTCAGTGGTATAAAGCTGATGAAATAAAGGGAGCACTAGCAGCTAAATAATTTTAGACCAAAAACACACAACAGCAACCACATTGTCTGTAGTTTTAAACAGTTCTTCCTCTGTGCATGAGGCAGGACATTGTGGGCAAGCATACATATGCAGTTATTTGTTCTGCTTCACAGTCGCACAAGATGGAGGATTCTTCTAGATAGTGCCATTTTGCCAGCTTGTCTTTTGATCTAACAACTCCACTTCTGAGTCTGTTCAGGGACTTCCAAGTGGCCCATTCTTGGTTTGCCCCTGGAGGAAGACCCTCGCGGGGTGCCATCCAGTTGGGATTGCCTGGTTTAGCTGCCCAGAAGGATAGTCTTGCTGTTGCTGGAGGAACATACAAAGGAGTGATGGTTCTCATGAAACTTTCCCTTGATTTAAGACTACCGGGAATAGGTTGATAGCCATGCAGTGGTTTGCTTTCTCAGTGTTCAACCTTATTTCTCTCGGAATTAGGAACAACTTCCAGTCACACATTGGGGGCGGGGCAATGCCAGCTAGCTTGAAGAGCAGGCACAAGCAAACTTTGGCCCCCCGGGTGTTTTGGACTCCAACTTCCACAACTCCTAACAGTCTCGGGCCCTTTCCTTTTCCCCCTCAGCTGCTTAAGCGGCTGAGGAGGGGAAAAAGGGGGCCTGAGGCTGTTAGGAATTGTGGGAGTTGGAGTCCAAAACACCTGGAGGGCCAAAGTTTGCCCATGCCTGTTGTAGAGTCTATGAACAGGTGAAGGTTTAAGACATCCTGTGATTATTCTACATATCTCATTCAGTGCTAGATTCACCTGCTTCACATGGGGCAGGCATACTCAACAGTTGAGTAAGACAAGGCCAGGACTGAGGAATAAGTAGTGCTCTAAAAGTTGTTGGTCTGTTACATCATTGATCGGACCCATTGTAGTAAATGGTGTGGGGGTTGTCGTCATTTAGTTCTGCTGCAAGTAGTCTTCTCATTTATCTACCCAACATTTAAGCAAATTTTGCTTGATGTTGCGCACAATGTATCTAAGCTGAATATGTTAATCTCTTGGGGAAAAGATTTGACTTTAAAAGTAAAGGTAAAGGTTTTCCCCTGACATTAAGTCTAGTCGTGTCTGACTCTGGGTGGTGTGCTCATCTCCATTTCTAAGCTGAAGAGCCAGCGTTGTCCGTAGACACCTCCAAGGTCATGTGGCCGGCATGACTGCATGGAATGCCCTTACCTTCCCGCCAGAGCGGTACCTATTGATCTACTCACATTTGCATGTTTTCGAACTGCTA